TAGTCAGACACTTCCGGTGGTCCCTCTTACAACAAAGACCCAAAAAAACAAGTGAATCAATTATATGACAATCTAGGAGCCCTGAACATCAAAGGCAAACTTGAGAAATCAGATTGAGTGCAGGGGGAGGGAGAGACAGTTCGAAAGCAGCGAGGAGTTGCCAGACCTGAATCAGCGAGAGCCTGAGCCCTTCAGGCCAGATCACCCCTTCAGGCCGGATCAGCTTGGGCAGTGAGACAGACAAGCAGCAGTGCTTGGGAGGTGTTTTCCACATCGGGACAGACCCAGTGGCAGAGTTTACTCAGCCATCCAGAATTAGTGAGAAGCAGCCCTTGATCGGCCTAAGATAGGTACTTGCATCTGGCCTACCGCACGGATCAAAAATATCCCCTTTAGGGAAAAACCTCTCTTCCATTTACCTCCCTGCTCCCTACTCTGCACTGGGTCTGGGATGGCTTCAGCGACTGCCGAGTCCCCTGGGCCGGAAGTAGGACCCATCACATGCCCTGAGCCATTCTCCTGGCCTTGGAGAATGAATAAATGAACAAACAGGGGAAAAATAATCCACCAGCTCCCCTAAGCCAGGAATTCAGGGTAGGCACAGCTCCTTTGCCTGGGCACAGGCATAAGGGATCCACGGACTTTGAGTGCCTTTCCCCCTGCACAGACTTGTGTGGGCCCATTTCAACAGCGTAGGCCCTCATTACCACAGTACAACAGGGTATATACCTGAAGTCTAACTTCAACTGTTTCAGCTGTGAAGTGACAAGTTCGTGACATTTGACACTGCTCTGCCCATTAAGTGGGGTCTTCACCTACCCACATCAGGGGCCTGAGGTCTGGTGGCTCCACCCACGCCACCTAGCCACCTGCGATAGGGGCCCAAGAATAATAAGTGTCCCCCAGTCCTAACAGACAACAGCACTGGGTGCTCATAGTCTGGCTTCAAAAGCCACCCATATACGTGCTCTAGGGAACAGAGACACACTTTTCTCCTGGCCACTCAGGGGTGGCCGTCAACTGCCTGCCTTGCTCAGCATGTGTCCTCCTGCTGCAGCCAGATGCCTGTGCCTACACCAATCACCCATGCCGGTCTAGAACTGTAGGTGAGAGCCTGCACCACACACTTGGTGGTTGACTACCTGGACACCTGAGCTGAATCCATACAGGAGGAGTGGGCGGACTCCTGGGCTCACATACTTAGTGGCAGCTCTGGCCACCCGGTGGCAGGACGTTGGAGCTTCAGGGGTGCCGGTGATCGGGCTAGCTCACACGAGCAGCCTATTTGGCATATCAAAACAAAACAAAACAAGAAGCTAGGACACAGTAAGCAAACATAAATAAATATAGTAACTTATTGATGGCTCAGAGACAACAGTCAATATCAAATCACATACAGGCAGACCATGATGGCTTCAGCAAGCTCCCAAAATAAAGAATCTAGAAATTTTCCAGAAGAAGAAAATTTCTTGGAATTACCAGAGGCAGAATACAAAAGATTAGTATACAGAACTCTTCAAGGAATCAGGAAGGAAATTAGGCAAAACGCAGAACACGCAATAGGGGAACTTAAGAAGATTAGAGAAGAGCATGACAAATTTAACAGGCTGCAAGAATCCACAGAGAGACAGCAATCAGAAATCCAGAAGATTAACAATAAAATTTCAGAATTAGACAACTCAGTAGAAAGTCACAGGAGCAGAATTGAGGCAATGGAAATCAGAATTAGTGAGACTGAAGATAAAGCACTTGACACCAACTTATATGAGGAAAAATCAGATAAAAGGATTAAAAAGAATGAAGGTAAAATAGATGCTTTCAGATAAACAAAAAGCCAAGAAAGTTCATCACCAGCAAGCCTGCACCAATGCATTCTTTAGGCAGAAGATTATCCCAGATAGAAACTCAAACATGTAGAAAGGAATGATGAGCAAAATTAAAAGGTAAATATATGAATAAGTCTAAAGAATACTGACTAGACAATATAATGTATTGCAGGGCTTAAAACAGAGAGAGAATTAAAGTACACAAATACAACAGCAGGTGAGCTGGGTGGACGATAAGTACAAAATATTCTAAGGTCTTTGAATTTTCTTGGAAAGGGGCAAAAACAGCAATTAATATTAAACTGTGACAAGTCATGAATATATGCAGAAATCTGCAGGATAACTACTGGAAGAGTTAAGAGAATAATTTACAAGGCAGAAGGAAAAAATGGAATAATAAAAAAGAATCAATTCAGTAGAAGGCAACAACGAAAATACACTGTAGGCAGGACAAACAGAAAATAGCACCGTAGATTTAAGCCGAACACACTAGTCCAAAAAAACCCAAAACTGTTGCCGTCAAGTTGATTCTGACTCATAGCAACCCTACAGGACAGAGTAGAACTGCCCCACAGGGTTTCCAAGGAGCAACTGGTGGATTCGAACTGCGGACCTTTTGGTTAGCAGTGGAGCTCTTAACTACTGCGCCACCTGGGCTCCGGAACATTAGTAATTACATTAAATTTCAATGGATTAAGTGCTCCTATTAAAAGCACTTATAGATTGAACTTACCTCTTCACCACCCAGTTTCCCTGGACTAACATCGCCACCTTCTGGATGCCACGCAGAACAGCCACAGAGTCGATAGAGGGGCCTAGAAGGCTCATCAAGTTGGCAAATGGCATGACCTTCACTGAGGAGGACATGGGAGATATTAGAAAAGGTAAGAGGGGCCTGGGTCCTTCCCTCTTCCAACAAGAATCTGCATAGCTTCAAACTCACACGATGCTCCCCGCATGTGAATCATGGCAATGACATAGATAATACCTGACATTCACTGGCTGCTTACTATGTGTCAGGCACTGTGCATCTCACTGAATCCTCAGTTACTTTATAAGGAAGAGTCTATTATTACTCCCATTTTACAGGGGGCCAAACTGAGGCCCAGGAGGTTTCAAAACTCACCTAAGATGACATAGCTAAAAAGTGGAGAGCCAGGATTTGAGCCCAGGACATCACTTATCACTGTGCTCTGCTGCCTCCCAGCCTCCCAAGCCCCCAGCCCAAGTGAGCACTGAGCAGGGCAGCAGGGTGACAGGGAGTCCCCAAGTCTTCCCCAGGAAGGCCAGAGGCTCCACACCCTGGCAGCCCCAGGCACAGCAGGGAGTCTTTCTCCAAGAGGAGACCAGTCCCAACTGTGCAGCCTGGTGAGGGCACATGAGACAGTGCAATGAAAACGTTTCGTTACTAAAATGACCACAGCTCGTGTTCATTTGAGGCCCTGTACTAAGCCCTCTAGCAGCCTCCTGTCTCTGAATCTTGAGCCCCCTTTAAAGATAATCACAGTGGGGCTCAGAGTATTAGGGACCTGCTCAAGCACACACAGCAGGGAGTGGTGAGGACAGCTGTGAAGCCCTGTGCCTGTCGAAACGCACCATCCTCCCAGACCAGGACAGAGCTGTAAGCTGGGTCAGGCAGGCCTGGGTGCCCGGGAGGGCAGAGGGGAGCCACCCACCATTCTTCATCAGGATCTTGATCTGATCGGCCAGGGGCAGGGTACGCAGCTGGGCCATGGACAGGACATTGCTGGGGGCCACAGGCTTGTCTCTATTGAGAACAAAGGTGATGGGTCAGAGCAGGCCGGGCCAGGGGAGGGAGGGGGTACCCAGCCCAGCCCTACTCACTTCTCTTCCTCCTGGCTGGGTGGCATCAGCATCATGAGGTACTCACTGTGGGGGAGAGGGCAGGGGTCAGGGGCTCCAAGGGCTCCACCCCTGCTCGTGAACACAGCTTGTATGCAGGCTAAAGCCTCCTCACCAGAGCCCAGGTAAGGGTTAGGGGAGGGGAAGAAGAGGCCAAACTCACAAGATGAACAGCTCCCACAGAAAGACAAGGATCACCCCTTCCATGCCTACCTCTGGCCCTCTCCAGAGGACAAAGGGCTCTCCCTTCCTCTATACCCCTGCCCCACACTAGAGAAAGGAGCATAGTCCCAAGGGAGGACTGGCCAGGAAGGAGTCCTCACACCAGAGACCCCCCTGGGGGTCAATGTCAGGCTTAGGAGCTGGGCCCTGGGCCCGGCATCTGTCTCCCACCCTGGTCTGGCCGATCCCACCTGGGTGACTTGACGAGCTCCGTGTTCTCAACCCCACTGGAGCCCTGGCACAGCAGGTACTGGCGCTCGTACTCAGAACGGCTGTCCTGTTGGGGGAGGGGGTGGAGGAGCGGGGCTGAGCCTCAGCCGATATCCCGGGCCCGGGCCACCCTCAAGGCCCCTCTGCCACCCAGTTCTCACCCCCTGCATGATGTTCTACCCAGTCACCGCACTGTCCTGCTCGAACACCACAGCATCACATCCAACTCCTGAGCATGACACTCAAGGCTTCAGATGTAGCCTCAGCCAACTCTCTCTCTGGCTTTATGACGACCCACACAAGGCAGCACCCTGGGACCCAGTGCCAGGTCGGTAATGCAGGCACACTAACAGGGATGATAAAAGTAACGCTAACATTCATTGGGTACCTATTAGGTTCCAGGCTCTGTTCCAATGGCTATGTATATACATTACCTCATTTCGCCCTCAAAGTAACTGGATGAGGTAGGTACTATTATTATTCCCATTTTTCAGATAGGGAAGCTAAGGTGCAGGGGGTTAGGTAATTTGCCTGAGGTCACACACTAGGAAACAGCAGAGCTTTTTTTCTGGCAGTCTGACCCTGAGTCTAAGGCTGACAATACAAACTTCTTCCAGGAAAGTTGTAGAGAAATCAGGAGTTGCTCCTCCTCAAATAAATGTCAGGGAGCCTTCGAGAGCTAATATTCCATTGCTTCCCTCACTCGATGTGCAATTTCAAGGATTAGCTTCTGAACTCAATGCGTGAGATGAAACCAAATATGTGGCAAAAATCACCCTTGGAAGGTACTCTGAGCACTCTGGGGCATATGGCAGATGGCCGGCTCTCCAGCGGAGCAGCAGATGAAGCGCTGGCCCACATTCAGGGCCCACATTGCATGAAAAATACATAACCAAACACCAGACTCACTCCGAGCCCAGCCAAGATGCTCACGCTCAGGAGGAGGAGGCCAGAAATCCCCCGGCCTCGTCTCTCATCTCCCGCTCCCTCTGAGGCACACACCAAGTGGAACTGCTGGAATGGTGGGCAATTTGTCCACCGTATTTAAATTCTCTCTAGGTGGTATTACCAAGCGGCTACAGCTCAATCTGAAATAAGTTAAAGGTGAGATGATACAGCCACCCCAAATGGCTTCCTGGGCACTGGGGCTTTTCTCCGGACCCTACCCCAAGGCTCACCCTGAGGCCGTAGTAATGCAGGTGCACCCAGGGCTCTTCGGCATGCTTCTTTTGCAGGAACTCGTAGGACTGCACTCGGCGCTGGCGGGCCTGCTCCGACTCTGGCCGGGAGAACCGCACCTGGGGGTGGGAGGAAAGGACTGATGCTCTCAGGCTGTGACCCTTCCTAGGCTACTGCTCCAGCCTCTATCAGATCAGAGAACCCCACATCTGGGGACAGCCTCCCCCTCGACTCCCTTCTCACACAGGCCTTTTAGATTGAAGCCAGGGAGCAGGCTTCTCTTGCTTTTGCCTACACACCATCCGATCTATTTCCCCTTCCACTGCTAACAGCACCCCCCGTTTTCCTTTGGGAAATTCCCAGTTTTCCCTTAGTTTAGGGGAAGTTAATGCCTGACCATCCCCTGACCGGCCCCACCAAACACACACGCACACATTCCCAGCGACAGGAGTAGGCACATGACTCAGCCCTGGCCAATCAGAGCATCAGGTCCTCTTAGCCACAGGGACTGGTTCAGGATTGGCCAAGCCAATGAGTTAGTTAAGCCTCGGACTTTAGACAGAAGTAATGAGAAAGAAGTTTCTTTTCCCCAGAAGTCTTGGAAGCTGGAGCTGGGGACAACTTTCTCTCTACCACTGGGGCAGACACCTTGCCTGAGAAAGAGGCCAACTGAGGAAGACAGGACCTGGAGATTGAGTGCCTGAATCCAGCCATGCCTGAAACTACCCTTGAACTTTTCAGTAACATGGACCAATACATTCCATTTTGGGCTCAAGCCAGTTTGATCTGGGTTTCTGTCACTTACAGAGTCCTGAAGGGCCCAAGCCCTAGCTCACCTCCCATGAAAGGAGCTGTGTGGGTGCTTGGGCCAGATTATCAAATCATAGGATGCCAAAGCCAGAAAGCTCTTTAAAGAATACTGGCCTAAGAATGTCTTGTTAAATGAGGGTCAGTCAGTTCCTGAGACAAGGGCATTATCTAAGGTTGTCCAGCAGGCTACTGAGAACCAGGACAACCATCCAGCGCCTAAGCAAGCCCCCCATGTCAGTTATGCCAACATTGGCCCATCTTCATTTCGGACAAACATTCTTCACAACTTTAACCACACTGTGTACCACCCTGCATAACTGTGTAGTATTTTTCTTTAAATAGATTCATTTTAATCTAAACATGCTTAAATACCAAAAACCAAACCTAGTGTGGTCAAGTTGATTCTGACTCATGGCAACCCCACGTATTACAGAGTAGAACTGCTCCATAGGGTTTTCTTGGCTGTAATCTTTACGGAAGCAGATCACCAGGACTTTCTTCTGCAGAGCCACTGGGTGAGTTCAAACAGCCAAACTTTAGGTTAGTAGTGAACGCAAACTGTCTGTGCCACCCAGGGCCCATATGCTTAAATAGGGGAAACTATAAACTATGAATGGCAGACCAATATCCTTCTAATAATCTTTAAAATAAAGGAGTTACTATTAAAATGGAGAAAGATGTGGCTGTCTGCTTTTGTAAAGATTATAGCGTTGGAAACCTCGTGCGGCAGCTCTACTCTGTCCTATAGGGTCACTATGAGTTGGAATCAATTCGATGACAACAGGTGTGTATTAAAATAGAAACTCTCCATCCATGCTCCATTGAAAAGACAGACTTCCACATTCAATTCACAGGTGGCTTTGGCTCTGGTAAGTCTATGCCTGTGGGTTCAGCTGGTCCCCTGTGCCCTGGCTTCCTCTTCCCAGGCAATTCCAGCCAAGCCCCAGGATCCAATCTCCAAATAGGACCACTACCCTGCTTACAGCGGTGACAAACCAGGCTGAGCAGGGGTAGGCCATTCCCTCTAGGTGCCCGGCAAGGAGTTTCTAAGGAGGACAGACATTCAGTAACTGCTTCACCTCAGAGTCCACTTCCTGCTGAGACCCTCCCTACCCCTAGCCGTCTCCAGGCAGCTGAGCTACAGAGCCAGCCCTGCTCCTCCCAGGCTGCCCCTCCCTTTGTGGGCCAGAGCTCACCGTGATCTGCTTAACATCTTCTTCTGCCTCATCCTGCGAAGAGTCTCCCGCTACAAGAGAAACAAGTTCCTAGCTTGCAGCCACTGGTGATGCCCCAAGCTCCCCACTCGCAACCCTACTCGCCAGGGGGCCTAAGCAAGGGGTGTCTGCGGATGCTCCTTCTAGACATAAGGTAATCACATAAGTCAGGGATTTTCAACAGGGAGTGATTTCCCTCCCTTGGGGATATCTGGCAATGTCCGGAGACATTTTGGTGGTCACAGCTGGGGGAGAGGATACTATTGGCATCTAGTGGGTGGAAGACAGGGATACCACTAAACATCCTACTATGTACAGGACCGCCCCCACAAACCAAATCCTTCATTGATTCTTCCCATGACCAACCCATCCTGCCAAGACACAGACAGACAGGCAGCAGCAGGGCTGGGGCTCTGGAGCTCACCCTCATTGGCTGCCTCCCTCTCGCGGTGCTTGGCGTCAGCTTTATCCAGGTAGGAGAAGCTGGGTCGCAGCTGCAGGATGCCATGTAAAGGAGTCAGGTGCAGCTCACCTAGCAGAGGAAGAAGGGCAACCCGAAGCTAGCAACTGGGGCCAACCCACCCAACTTGGCTCAATGGAGCTTCACCAAGGGCCCAGGACTTCCCTGAAGGCCTAGTTCAACTATCACATCACTTCTCACCCCTTCTCCTGCCCATGGATCCTACAGCCTTGGGGTCACCAGGCCGGAGGTCATTCTTGACCCAATCTTGGTCCTGGATACAGGGCAAGTACATAACCCGGGTCAGAACATGAACCTGGGCTCTTCTGACCAAACACACTTCCTTAAGGCCTACATTCAAATCCTTTGGCAAGCTTTCAAGGCCCTCCCAACTCCAGCCCCTACCGTCCCACAGTTACACTGGGCAATGTGTCTACACCAAGCACACCTTGCTCTCTCCTCCCTCCAGGCCTTTAATCAGACTAAAAACTACCTCTACCCTCTACATACTCTCAGACTTCCTCCTTCTCATCCTCCCACCTCTTCCTGTCACAGACCCACCTGTGCCTTTAAGAAGTTGACTAGTGCAAACATGGCTTGAGAAGGGGCCCCTGATGGAGCCAGATGAGGAGTTTCTCCATGGTCTCTGACAAAGACTGGCTTTTCCTTATGAGTTAGGGTGCACACACAGCTCTTAAGTGGGAGGCAGTGCAAAGACAATCGATTCCAATCAAGTCAATGGAGACTTAAAAGAGCAGAAACCAGAGTGCTAGGAGCATTAAGTGGCCCAGTGAAAGCTCTCTGGACTCCAGAGGGGACAGAATGCTTGTGATAGGAGTAAATAAGTGAACGGCCCTGGTGGCAAGAATGTGGCTTTAAAGGATTATATCCTTGTGACACTGGTTCTGGTTCAAGACAGAAGCGTATACAGTAGTTACTTGATACTAGTTTTGATTTTATTCTATTTCCTAAGTGTTCAAATTAGCTTCATTTATTGCTTTGTAAACTCTAAATATTTAATAAATTAAGTACCTGACATATTTATCAGCTCTACTGAGACATAATTCACACAGCATACAACTCACCCATAGAATCCTTCACTATTGCAACTCGAGGCTGGAATTTTTTCAGATCTTTCAGCTTGAGAAATGCCGAGCACGTTCTTCCCTTTTGGTTTTCTAACTCCAGGTCTTTGCACATGTCACTATAATACTTTACTTTGCCTTCCTGAACCACCCTTTGAAATCTCCTGTTCAGCTCTTTCACGTCATCATTTCTTCCATTCGCTTTAGCTACTCGACATTCAAGAGCAAGTTTCAGAGTCTCTTCTGACATACATTTTGGTCTTTTCTTTCTCTCCTATCTTTTTAATGACCTCTTGCTTTCTTCATGTATGTCCTTCCAAAACTTGTCTGGTCTTCAGTCATTAGTGTTCAATGCATCATATCTCTTCTTGAGATGGTTTCTAAATTCAGGTGGGATAAACTCAAGGTCATACTTTGGCTCTCCTGAACTTGTTCTAATTTTCTTCAGCTTTAACTTGAACTTGCATATGAGCAATTGACGGTCTATTCCACAGTCGGTCCCTGGCCTTGTTCTGACTCATGATATTGAGCTTTTCCATCATCTCTTGTTGATTTGATTCCTGTGTATTCCATCTGGCAAGGTCCATGTGTATAGTCACTGTTCATGTTGTTGAAAAAAGGCATTTGTGATGAAGAAGTCATTGGTCTTGCAAAATTCTAACATGTGATCTCCAGCATTGTTTCTATCACAAAGGCCGTATTTTCCAACTACCAATACGTCTTCGTTTCCAACTTTCGCATTTCAGTCTCCAGTAATTATCGATGCACGCTCATTGCATGTTTGATCAATTTCAGACTCCAGATGTTGGTAAAAATCTTCAGTTTCCTCATCTTTGGCATTAGTGGTTGGTATGTAAATTTGAATAATAGTCATATTAACTGGTCTTCCTTGTAGGTGTATGAATATTATTCTATCACTGACACCATTGTACTTAAGGATAGATCTTGAAATGCTCTTTTTGATCATGAATGAATGCAATGCCATTCCTCTTCAACTTGTCATTCATTCCTGGTGTAGTAAACCATATGACTGTCTGGTTCAAAATGGCCAATACCAGTCCATTTCAGCTCACTAATGCCTAGGATATCGACCATAGGCTTTCCATTTCATTTCTGACAATTTCCAATATTCCTAGATTCAAACTTTGTACATTCCACGTTGCGATTATTAATGGAAGTTTGCAGCTGTTTCTTTTTATTTTGAGTCATGCCACATTAGCAAACGAAGGTCCCGAAAGCTTGACTCCATCCATGTCATTAAGGTTGACTCTATTTTGAGGAGGCAGCTCTCCCCTGGTTGTCTTGAGTGCCTTCCAACCTGAGGGGTTCATCTTCCAGCATATATCAGACAATGTTCCACTGCTATTCATAAGGTTTTCACTGGCTAATTTTTTTCAGAAGTAAACCACCAGGTCCTTCTTCCTAGTCTGTCTGAGTCTGGAAGCTAAGCTGAAACCTGTTCACCATGGGTGACCCTGTTGGTATGTGAATACCGGTGGCATAGCTTCCAGCAACACACAAGCCCCCACAGTATGACAAACTATGGGCAAAATACTGAACAACACAGGAAGCATCAAAAGAAGGTGGAAGGAATACACAGAGTACCAAAAAGAATTGGTCAACATTCAATCATTTCAGGAGGTAACATATGATCAAGAACTGATGGTAATGAAGGAAGAAGTCCAAGCTGCACTGAAGATATTGGCGAAAAACAAGACCCGGGAACTGACAGAATACCAATTGAGATGTTTCAACAAACGGATGCAGCACTGGAAGTACTCAGTCGTCTACCAAGAAATCTGGAAGATAGCTACCTAGCCAAGTAACTGGAAGAGATCCATATTTATGCCTATTCCAAAGAAGGTGATCCAACAGAATGCAGAAATTATCAAACAATAGCATTAATATTACACACAAGTAAAATTTTGCTGAAGATCATTCCAATTGGGTTGCAGCAGTACATTGACAGGGAACTGACAGAAATTCAAGCCGGATTCAGCAGAGGATGTGGAACGAGGGATATTTTTGCTGATGTCAGACAGAGAAAAACAGAAAGATGTTTACCTGTGTTTTACTGACATTGCAAAGGCATTCAACTGTGTGGATCATAAAAACTTATGGATAATATTGTGAAAAAGAAGAATTCCAGAACACTTAATTGTGCTTATGAGGAACCCGTACATAGATCAAGAGGCAGTCGTTCAAATAGAACAAGGGGATACTGCGCGGTTTAAAGTCAGGAAAGGTGTGTGTCACGGTTGTATCCTTTCACCATACCTATTCAATTTGTGTGCTGAGCAAATAATCCAAGAAGCTGGACTATAAGAACATGGCATCAGGACTGGAGGAAGACTCATCAACAACCTGCGTTACGCAGATGACACAGCCTTGCTTGCTGAAAGTGAAGAGGACTTGAATCACTTACTGATAAAGATCAAAGACTACAGCCTTCCGTATGGATTACACCTCAACATAAAAAAAACAAAGATCATCACAACTGGACCAATAAGCAATCATGATAAATGGAGAATAGGATTTCGTTTTACTTGAATCCACAGTCAACACCCATGGAAGCAGCAGTCGAGGCAAATCTGCTGCAAAAGACCTCTTTAAAGTATTAAAAGCAAAGATGTCACTTTAAGGACTAAGGTGAGCCTGACCCAAGCCATGTGTTTTCAATCACCTCATATGTATGCAAAAGCTGAACAATGAGTAAGGAAGACCGAAGAAAAACTGACACCTTTGAATTATTGTGTTGGCAACGAATACTGAATATACCATGGACTGCCAAAAGAACAAACAAATTTGTCTTGGAACAAATACAGCCGGAATGCTCCTTAGAAGCAAGGATGGCGAGACTACATCTCACATACTTTGGACATGTTATCAGAAAGGATCAGTCCCTGGAGAAGGACATCATGCTTGGTAAAACTGAGGGTCAGCGAAAAAGAGGAAGACCCTCAATGAGATGGACTGACACAGTGTTTGCAACAAATACGATCAAGAACAATGATCATGAGCGCGGTACAGGACTGGGCAGTGTTCCGTCCTGTTGTACACAGGATTGCTGAGTCTGAAACGACTCAACGGCACTTAACAACAACAAATAATTCACCCACTGCACAATTCATTGTATCTTAGCATATTCGGAGTTGTACAACTATCACTGCAGTCAATTTTAGAACATTTTCAGACCCCAAAAAGAAAAACCCTGTACCCACAAGCAGTCAATCCCTATTCCTTCCTCTCCACCCCTAGCCCTCGACAGCCACTAATCTACTTTCTGTCTCAATGGATTTGTCTATTCTGGACATTTCCTATAGATGGAATAATATGTGGCCTTTTGTGACTGGCTTCTTTCACTTAAAGGAGTCCTAGTGGTGCAGTGGTTAAGTGCTCGGCTGCCAACCAAAGTCAGCAGTTTGAACCCACAGCCACTCCATAGGAGAAAGATGTGGCAGTCTGTTTCCGTAAAGATTACAGCCTTGGAAACCCTACAGAGCAATTCTACTCTGTCCTACAGGGTCCCTATAAGTCAAAGTCAACTTGACGACAGTCGGTTTTTAATCTTTCACTGAACATGTTTCAAGGTTCATCCATGTTGTAGCATGTATCAGTACTTCATTCCTTTATATGGCTGAATAATATGCTATTGTATGGATAACCACGTTTTGTTTATCCATTCATCAGTGCATGGACATCTGGATTGTTTTCACTTTTTGGCTACTGTGAATGATGCCAATATGAACATTTTTGTATAAATTTTTAAGTGGACGTATGTTTTCACTTCCCTTGATTAGAACAGGATGACGCTGACCCCGGAGCTGCACCATCGGATATCAGGCTGGGCAGTGTCTCGCCATAAGTCCCCACAGGGGACCAATTCCAGGACCCTGACAATCTGTTTGGCCCTGTGAGTATTTTCTTTTCCCACTTAAATTAGTTGTCAATTTTAAAACCTCAGGTTTCACCTGAAAGGCCAGAATTCTGGGCTGTCTTACAATGCCCGAAGGCCTGGTGCCCCTGGGTCTGTATTCCTACATACGCACTGACTACAGTTGTGTAGCTGCCACCTGCCCCAGACAGTTGGCTGCTCCCCTCCTCTCTATTGCCTTATATCTGGCCCTGCTTGACAGCTTCCCACCAACTCCACACACACTTACTTCCACAGCCTGCCTGGCCTCTGTGGGTGCTATGCAGACGGGGGAGGTAGAGCAGGACACTAGGCTAGCTACTGCCTCTCCCTGTCTGGGCCCCTTCCTGTTTCCCCTCCCACCCGAGTGCTGCCGATCAGGCTTCATGAGCCAGCACAGTCCAAGGATGCCCAGCCCCGTTACCTTTCCTGTAGAGCGCAGCCGCATAGCGGGATGTGTTACTGGTGGTCTGAGAAGAGCAGAAGATCTGCTTGTCCATCAGCTTCCTGGGAGCACAGAGAGAACTCACGTCAAGGGGAAGGAAGTTCCAGAGCTAGGCGGCACAGCCCATTCCACCCGACACCTTCTAAAATCCAACAGCCAGGGCGCAAGGCCAAGGGCAGGCTAGGTCTGCCTCAGGAGGGGAGCTGGGGATGAGAAGCCCCAGGCCTTATCAGCTTGCATGGAGCAAGAGAGAAGCAGTGATCTAGGAAGGATCTGTGACACACACACACCCTCCCAGGATGCTGGCGGGAGCCAGAAATGGGGTGGAGGGGACTACATAGATGTCTTTCCAGCCCCCCTCCGAAGCCTCATACTTGAACACCACGAAGCCTAGAGGGCTCAGGGGCCAGGGAACTCACGAGGAGTATGTGCTGGTCTCGTCAGTGCAGGCGCCATCCACGTTCAATGCGATCTGCTCCCCTTTGCTGCGGCAATAGTTGGGATTCAGGGTGTCCATGGCCATCTCAAGCTCTACCTGGAGGCACCAAGCACCCCCACCTGCTATGAGGACTCCAAGGCACAACTCCCCAAGGGACAGCCCCAACCCTGCCATGGCCACCTCTGACACCGGTCCCTCCCCAAGGGCCCTTAGGCTGAAGTCTACACCAAAAACCACAAACCCAAATACCAACAGAAACGCCAGAGGGCTTCTATTAGGGGGCTCACAGCTTTGTTTGTCCTGCCACCCCACCCCCAAAGATCTAAATTAGGTGCCAACATTTAAAACCAAGAGATTTCTCATGAAAATCCTTATTACCAACTGCTCTTGAAAACTCAGCAGAGCTGGCAATACTGGAGGAACAGCTCCACGTGGCATCTCTGGGCTTGAGCTGTGGCCGGCCTATGGACGGGGCAGGTGCCTCCAGCTCTCCCCATCCCCTTAGGCACCAGACATATCAGGCCTGCGTCCCACATCTTCGCTCCGCCTCCTCCTGTGAACATGCATTTGTGACCCCTGCTCCATACACACCCAACCCTGCTCACTGACCCATCTTGAGCCTCGTCCTCCCTGGCCGTGTTGGAGTTGCCACCTTCCTTCTTTCTTGAAACTCTTTCCTTGCTCGACTTTCAAGACCTGGTTCTCCCCTTAACTCTCCAATAGCCCCTTCTCTGGGTTTCCAGTCCCCAAAGGGCCCGCCCCCTCGCCTCCCTACCCCCATTCAAGAGGGCAGGCCCACCTTCTGCTGCTTAGGCTTGATCTTGGCTGAGAGGTGCGGAATGTCATCGTAGGTCATCGAGGCTGGACGCACAGGGTACTAGGGAGGGAAAGGGGGCTGTCAGACCACCTACTCAGCCCTCAACCAGAGCTGAGCTCCTGTGGGGCCTCTGGCCAAGGATCAATAGCTACATCCCTCCCACCTCAAGTAGGGCCCCCAATGGCCTGGCCATAAGGCTATGCCGCTGGTCTCACTTGCAGCCCCATTTCTCACTGGCCTCCTTCCAAAGGGCAATTTTAGAATGTCTCTGACTTCCAGGGGCACAGGGACATGCCCAAACATTGGGAACTCAAACAGACCCTGTGTGCATTGCCCAGAAGGTTCTAGTAACCCAGGAAGCACTGCCGCGGGAATTAAGAGCAAGGGTCCCAGATCTAGGTACCAGTTCTCAGGTCACACGGGGATGGAAGGGCAAGTTAAAGGAGACAAGGAGGAACAAGACTGACAAAAGCCTGTGCCGCATTGCAGCTGGATGATGGATAGATAGATGGGCACTCGCTACATCATTCCTTACTTTTGCCTATGTGGGAACTTTCCCATAATAAAAGCTAAGAGACGGGAGCTGGGCTGCCACCAATCCCCTCAGAAAGCACTCTCTGGGCCTCAGCTTCCTCATGTGTACAATTATTTTTATATAAAAGGGTTCACACTTTAAAAGGGTTCACACTGAAACCTGCTTTTTTGCACCTAACACACCACGGACATCTTTCGATATCAGTCCTTTCTTTTCGTTCTCCAGCACACTGTTCTACTGTTCTACCAGAAGGATGAGCCCTGGTTTAGACCCAGCCTCTCCCACACACTGTTCTGCTGCGGGTGGGGGGAGAGGGGCGCGGTGAGCCCTGGTTTAGACCCAGCCTCTCCTGCACACTGTTCTACTGGGAGGTGAACCCTGGTTTAGACCTAGCCTCTCCCACACACTGTTCTACGGGGAGGTGAGCCCTGGTTTAGACCCAGCCTCTCCCGCACACTGCTCTACCAGGGGATGAGCCCTGGTTTAGACTGGTCCTCAAAGAAAGCTCTGGCCATCAAGGCCTTGTACCATTACAGCCTTTGAAGAGCCTAGTGGAGACGCACGAGCATGTGTAAAGTCAACTCCACTTTTAGGGCAATTTCAGATCAGCTCCATGCTAGGCCAAGGAAAGGGTTACTCCCTAAAAGCTCACTTAGATAGCAACTGCGACCTCTCCCTGCTTTCTGGGCTGGAGGTTGAGGAGGCCAGGAAGGGCAGAGGTGGCTGCGGTGCAAGGAGCAGCACTGCCCGGAGCACAGCTGGTCTGGGCTGAGCCCTCAAGAAGAGTCAGGGCTGGGACAGGTCATCAAACTGCCCAGGAGGCTAGACAGCCAAAGCCCAGGGCAGCTCTGAGACCCTCTGACCTCAGGCTAGGAAGGGTGGTAGTGACAGAAACAGGCTCTAGAATTAGAGAGGCCTGGGTTCCAGTCCCAACTCTGCCACTTGGTATTTGTGAGACCTCGGGCAAGCTCCTTGCTTCCCTGAGCACCAGTCTCCTCACCTCACAGGGCTGCTGTGAGCATGGAAAGAAGCAAAGGGAGGTGACACCAGCACAGGGCCTCTGTCTCTGACTTCCAGGGACATAGGCACATGCCCAGGCACTGGGAACCCAAATGGGCCCAGTAATACATGGGCTCACCACCACCATCACTGCCATCATTTTGCAGTCAAGGAAGCAGGTGAAGACTGCCCAATGACAGGCCCACAGCACATGGCTAATAGAAGCACAGACAGGGGAGGAGACACCAGGCCTCCTTCCTCCAAGTTCAGGGCTCAGAGCAACCTCAGGCTCCTTGAGCAAGCTATTAGCCAACCCATGCCTCATTTTCTCATATGCAAAATGGGGATAAAAATACTTGCAATAACTTTACTGGTGAGAACGTAAAACGGTGCAAAACAGTCTGGCAGTTCTTCAAATAGTTAAATATAGAGTTACCATATGGCCCAGCAATTCTACTTCTAGGTATAAACTCAAGAGAAATGAAAGCACATGTCCATACAAAAGGAGTCCTGGTGGCACAATGGTTAAGCACTCAGCTGCTAACCAATAGGTTGGCGATTCCAACTCACCAGCCACTCCACAGGAGAAAGATGTGACAGTCTGCTTCTGCAAAGATTTACAGCTTGAAAACCCTATGGGGCAGTTCTACTCTCAACTTCCGGGTTGCTATGCGTTGGAATCGACTTGACAGCAATGGGTTTGGTTTTTGGCTTGGTCCACACAATACTTATTCACAACAACCAAGAAATGGAAACAATCCAAGTGTCTATCTGCTGATGATGGATAAACAAAATGAGGTATATCCACACAAAGGAATGTCATTAGCCATAAAAAGGAATGAAGTTCTGTTTCATGCTACAATATGGACGAACCCTGAAACCATTACGCTAAGTGAAAGAAGCCAGACGCAAAATGCCAATATTGTCTGATTCCATTTATATGAAATGTTCAGAATAGGCGAATCCGGAGAGAGAGGAGATTAGTAAGTAGATCAGCCTAGGGCTGAGGAAAGGAGTGAGGGGGCAATGGGGAGTGGCTGCTAACAGGTACAGAGTTCCTTTTAGGGGGAATAAAAATGTCCTAGAATTAGACTGTGGTGATTGTACAACTCTTTGAATGTACTAAAATACACTGAATCGTATACTTAAATGGATGAGTAGTAAGGATGTGAATTATATCTTGATGAAGTTATTTAAAATAATAATAAACATAGAGTTATATGAGAATTGAGTGAATTAATACATCCAAATGCTGTAAACAGTGCCTACACAGAGTCAGTACTTAATACATGTCAGCCACTACTACAAGCTACTGGCCAACAGGGAGGGGAGGAGGCAGGGATAACAATTAGGTGGGACTCACGGTCGCAGGACTGAGGGCTCACCAACTCTGCCCTGGACCTGCTGTTCACCCTCCAGCAAGTCCCCCCGTGAGCCTCAGAATGACGCAGCTATCCTTACTAATGCTAGCTATGCCAGGCAAGGTTCTAACCACTTTAATATGGACCCCTCCAGCCCTCCCAGAGACCTGATGGGACCCCGTTATTACTATAACCATTTTGCACACAAGGAAACTGAGGCACAGGGAGGTTAAGGAACTTGTCCAGGGGCTCACAGCTAAGTTATAAAGAAGCAAAAAAACCAAACCCATTGCTGTCAAGTCGATTCCGACTCATAGCGACCCCTACAGGACAGAGTAGAACTGCCCTATAGGGTTTCCAAGGAGCAGCTGGCAGATTCCAAATGCCGACCTTTTGATGAGCAGCCAAGCTGGACCTCAACACCAGCAGTCTGACCCCAGAGCCAAGCTTTGAACCACTACACCGTTCTGCCTCTCGTGTGGCCATTGCCTTGATTTTCCCATTTTCGAAATGACAGACTCATATTAACCCACCCATGAAAGCATAGGGAACTATCTTTCATTTTTTACTCATGATTTTTTCTTTTTTTAAATCTTGTGTACTGTCTTACCTTTCACCAAAGTAGGGAACTATCTTATCACACATTCTGCAAGGCTGACATCTGCCATTATTCCTTGCCCATGACTTACTGCATCCCCACCATCCCCCCAGCACTTGCTTTTCTCCCCCTTTAACTTCAAGTCCCGTAATTACCTGAAACAGATAGAGCTTCTCTGCCAGACTTTTGGCCAAGTACACATCGATCTGGGAAGCAAAGGAAGAAGACTTAACCAGGAGACAGAACACAGTGGCCTGACCTGCCCCAGGCATGCACTTGAGTTTCAGGTAAAGGGTAGTGGCTCAGAGAAGCAGGCTAGGGGAGAGGAAATACCTTAGCATGCTACAAACAAAGGGAATCAAGTCTCTACCTGGATATGTCTACAGCCAACAGCCCAGGGCTCCCTCCCTACAGCTCCCAGGGGACCAGGAGACAAGTATGGGCCTGGTCCCCCAACCCAGGTTCACCATAACCCAATAAAAATACATCTTCCCCCCAGCTGCCCAGCTGAGGATGCTCGCTAGAGCCAGGTAAGATGGCTTGCTTGGAAGATAGGGCACCTGGACTGGCCTATTAACCTGTCCTAATGCAGTCTGCAAGGCCCTTCCTGATGACCTGGCCTTGCCCCAGCACACAACAGTTTACCTTTCTGCTTCCTAGCTTCTTTGGAACAAAGCTCTCTCCCACCTCTGGGTCTTTTCACATGCTCTTCCCTCCACCTAGAATGCCCTTCCCACGTGCATGCCTTAAGGACTCAGCTGAGCCACCACTTTATTCAGGAAGCATTCCAGGGCTCCTAGGTTGCATCCGCCTCTGTCTTAAGAATCCCTCCAGCTTTCCTCTACCCTAGCACCAATCCCCTCATTGTAATTCCTATTACTGCAGTAGAGTCATGTTTAAATCTATTTAAACAACTCAGATCTGGAAACGGAATCAGCACCTCTCCAAAAGGAAAACAAGAATGAATTACCCTCATTCACCTCCAGAGGTCTCCTTGCCCCCTCCCTTCAAACTAGACTTTAGCCACCACATATAAGGAGGCCAGAGCCAAAAGCAGTTAATTCTGGGCTTTTGACTTCCAAAGGTCTAGGTCCTGGATTGGAAGGGTTTAATTTTTTCCTTTTTCTGCTGACTCTGGAACCTACCTCCCAACTGTGTGCATATTGAGACACCTCCTTTGTCAGTCTTGCCCCACAGACCATGAGCTTCCCGAGGGTTGTGTCACAGCCCCCAGCACATAAGAGGGGTTCAATGAGTAACTGCTGAATGACTGAATCTGCTAAGTCCTGACTCAGGGAGTTGTCAGGCCCATTCATTCATTCAGTCAACAAATAGTCACTGCAGACCAATTACATGCCAGGCACTGTTCTTGGCTCTACAGATACAGTGGTGAACAGGACGAAATCCCTGCCCTTGGGCACCTTATAGTCTAGTGGAAGGAGACAGACAATAAGCAAATGCCTAAGGGGTGACAGGTGCTACGTCCAATGTAAGGCGGCAAGGGAGTGATGGGGGAGGGGTGCAGGAGGAGAATGGCACACAAGGTAGGGTGGTCAGGGATGGACTCGCCAATAAGGTAATGTTTGATTGGATACCTGAAGGAAGTGAGGGTCAGCCATGCATATATCTGGGGGAGGAGAGTTCTAACAGAGGGAATGGCCAGGGTTGAGGGTCGCTTGGAGGCCAACAGATCCCAGAATGGCCTGAGGAGGGCTAGAGGGGATCCAGCCCTGCTGCCTGTGGCCCTGGGCCCCAACTCTTCTCCCTGCCACCCTGGGCAGAGGGTAGGGACCAGCAGTTACCTCCTGTACAACTGGGTCATCCTCTTCATTGGCCATACTAGGGGTGAGCCAGCCGTGCAGTCCTTGGACGCGATCTGGAAGGGAGAAGGAGAGGCTAGGACTATCAGTCAGTCGTTCAACCAACATTTCTGGGGTGCCTGCTCTGCAACAGGCCTGCACTGGGAGTGAGGAGTCCAAGGCAAACAGAAACTGACTTTTCTACATTTGTTGTGGAGTCAACAGTAGTCAACTAAATACCCCATCAGCCAAAAATGAGAGAGAGAAATAACCAAGCAATGGGTGCAAATGAGCAGCTGCAAGTCAACACCTGGTGGCTGTTCTGTGGGGAAGAATAAAGTACTAGTTTTAAGGGCTTCTTGACTACTCACAAAGAAGAACTCATTGCCAGGCAGGGGAATAGAGGTTGGCTGGTCCACAGCCATGATTAGAACACTTGAGAACTAATTAAAGGCCACAAGGAAGGTCTAAAGACTCAGACATCAAACAGGAAGAGCAGACCATTCAAAGGATTTTCCAGGGTGACTGATATTTGCTTTTCATGCTGAATTTAGAACCCTAACCCAAGTGAATAGATAAATAAAATGTGGTATATCCATAGAATGGTATACTATTCAGCTCCTCTCGGTGATATTTTTGTGTATAAAATGACCCTCTTCACACTTTTCTCTCAGCAGTCAACGTTACAACCCCAAGAGGTGGCTTGATCTTCCCATTTTATGATGCGGAAACAGGAGCTTGGAGACACTTTGTGTGTCTTGCCCCGTCACACAGCAGGAAGACCAACTGCATTTCAAATCCAGCCAATCAGACTCCAGGTAACCCGAGGGGCAGGGAAGTTCAGAGGAGGGAAGGGAAAGGCCTTCCTACCTTGGGATTGGATGGGAGGGGGGCATTCGGGCTGGGCCTTGAAGGATAGGCGGCTTTGGACAACAGAGGGGAGGAATTACAGGTGACAGGAAACACTTCAGCAAGTACTAGAGGAAGGAAGGTTACAGTCTCCATGGGGGAGGGGGAGTAATTCAGTGGGGCAGAGGTGCAGTCAAATGGGTTTCTCTCATATATAACCTTTCTGGCCTTGGGTTTATAATTCTGCTGAAATGATCGGCTAAGCCACAATCCTGCAAGGGATTGGTCGATTACTATGCAAATAGAGTGCGTAAAACCACCCAACAGGATTAAGTGACCTTGCGTGAGACTGGTCCATTTATGGCCTCGCTGGGAGGGCCATGTCTTGAAATTGATAAGGAGCTTGCTTAAAAGCAGCCAAGTTGACAAGAGATTTTTAGACACAGAAGGCGGGAACCTCCTCAAAGAGGTGTAAAATGGGTTAAGAGCTGTAACACGGGAGATGGGAACCATGGAACCAGCAGATGGCTGCAATGATGCTTGCCGGTCCACAGAGTTCAGGCAGGAGGCTTGCTGACAGAGCAGGGTGTCTCTAGGCACTTGTTGGTGGAGCCAAAAGAGCTATAACACTTGCCCAAGCAGGGGAGAGTTCCAGCGAGGCCCAGTGGCAGAGCAGAAGCATCAGGAGCCTTGTAGGCCACCAGGCGCATGGTGGTAGCCAGTGGCAGAGAGCCGTGTTCGGCCTAGAGAAGGGCCTCCTAGCATGACAGAGAGGAGCTGAGAGAGCTGTCCTGACTGTGGAACTGCACTCTGTCTCCTGAGTTGTATCCAATTACTCCCAAGTTGATCCTGTTACCTCCTAATAAACCACTTAACCATAAGTACAGTTCATGGGTTTTGTGGACATTGCAGCAAATTACCATACCCGGCGGGGGGAAGAAGGGTACTGAGGGGAGGGGGAGTGATTGGTGTTAGAGATGCTGGAGTGGTTCAGCAGCTTGGAGAAGATGGAAGTCTGGGGCATCTTTAAGCTCCGCCTCATATGGACCAGCTTTGTGCCGATTCTTACCAAGTACATTACTGTTTAGCTGGTAATGGTTAGAAAGGCCTGTGGACACCCACAGATCTCAGCAGATCCCAAACCTCTGTCTTTTGGGTAAGACCATCAGTTTATGTCTTACCTACTTAACATCTGAACTATTTAACATTTTCTTTAAAGCAACTAATTTTCTTTAATTTAAATAAACTTCTTTAAAAAGGAACCCTCACTTCATAACTGTCAATCAAGATAACTGTCTCTTGCCATAAGCAGAATACCAGAAAAACAAATACAACAAATACAAAACAATGCTGTTAGTTCACTGCAGCACTATTCACCACAGCCAAAGGGCAGACACAGCCCAAGCACCCCTCAACAGATGAATGGATAACAAAATGTGGTACATATCCATAGAATGGAAGGTTATTCAGTCATAAAAAAGAAATGAGGTTCTGATACATGCAGCAACACAGATGATCCTTGAAAACATTATGCTGAGCAAAATAAGTCGGACACAAAAGGACAAATATTGTATGGCCACCTTACAAGAAATATCCAGAAAAGGCAAATGCACAGAGACCAAAGTTTGCTAGTGGTTACCAGGGGGTGAAGGAGCTCTGGTGGCACACTGGTTAAGTACTTGGCTGCTAACGTAAGGACAACTGTTCGAACCCACCAGCCACTTTGTGGGAGAAAAGACCTGGCAATCTGCTTCCGTAAAGATCGTAAAGATTACAGCCTTGAATAACAAAAGTTTGTTAAGAAAATGTTCTGCATCCTACTCTGGTAAGTGGCGTCTGGGGTCTTAAAAGCTAGCAAGTGGCCATCTAAGATGTATCAATTGGTCCCAACAACCTGGAGTAAAGGAGAATGAAGAACACCAAAGACACAAGGAAAGTATTAGCCCAAGAGACAGAAAGGGCCACACAGACCAGAGACTTCATCAGCCTGAGACCAAAAGAACTGGATGGTGCCCGGCTACCACCAATGACCGCCCTGACAGGGAACACAACAGAGAGTCCCTGATGGAGTGGGGGAAGGGTGGGATGCAGA